AAAGACTCCCTGACCTTCAGCTTGTCAGAAAAGGCTCCCTGGCCTTCATCTCGTCTAAAAAGACTAGATGATCTCCAACTCGACAAAAAAGGCTAACTGATCTCATTCTCGTCTAAAAAGACTGCCTGACCTTCAGCTCGTCTAAAAACACTCCCTGAACTTCTACTCGTCTAAAAAGACTCCATGACCTTCAGTTCGTGTAAAGAGATTTCCTGACCTTTAGCTCGTTTATAGAGACTCCCTGACCTTCCGATCGTCTAAAAAGACACTCTAACCTTTAGCTCGTCGAAACAGACTCCCTGAACTCCAGTTCCTCTAAAAAAACTCACTCGTCAAAAAAGACTCCCTGACCTTAATTTCGTCTAAAAAGACTAACTGATCTCCAGCTCGTCAAATAGACTCCCTGACCTCCAGGTCTTCAATGAAGACTCGGTGGTCTCCAGCGAGCCTATAAAGTCTCTAAGTCCTTTGACTCGTCGACGAGGACTCTTGAGTATAAACTGTTCTATAAGTGTTCCCTGGTCTTTAGCTCGCCCAAATTGACTCTCTATCTTTCATGCGGTCACGTCATGGCGCGCCATGGGTTAATTGGCCCTTTTCAACTTCTTTAGTTGTTATTCCCAAGAAAAACTATTATTAGACAACCAGCTGATAGAGATATCTATGGCACATAGTATGCCTGTATTAAATATGAGACCTATATAAGTGTGTGTAGACATAAATATCTATGTATGTGTGTATGAATTTATGTGAAGATGTGTATAAGATAACTACTTTTAATAGTTTTCTAAGCTCCATTTAAGATTCGCTGACACATGTTTTATGGAGTCAAGCGGCAGTTGTTTGCCGTCTTCAGTCCATAATTGGAAGATATCCTTTCAGGAGCATCGAAGAAGGCAGCAGTACGAAATCTCTGTTTTGCTTTATTAACAAGGACACATGGCAATTTTTGATAATATGTTTATGGTTAGCGACAAGGATAACAACAACAAACGGGTGGAATATATTAAATCAAAGCTATCAAAAACATTTAAACTAATATTAAATTAAACAATCAGGGCAGAGCTGATTTCAGTTTTTGGGTTCACTGACAGGGTTCAGACCATCATACATACAAACATATGTATTTACAGATGTGAGGGAAAGTGTGAATGTGAGTAAGAGAAGAGGGTTTCGATTGAGATACATGAGAATGTGTGTGCTTAAATTAAATCATATGGGCTGTGCTTTTTCGTACAGATTTTAAATTGAAAACCATATGGGTTGGCCCAACACAGCTGGAGTTCGGTAGGTGTGTACAGTTAATTGCAGATTGGCATATTTTAATAATTTCATGTGATTCTTTCTTTCGTTTTAGAGTCTGCAGCCTCTCTTTGACTGGGTTTTAAAGATCTCCTAGTCTCCATCATGGCTTAAATCCGCCTCTAACAATTTCGTCCATGTTTACTTCCTTCAGAGCCTTCAGTGAGAGTAAAAATCCCCTCAATTCACATTTAAACATTGCTGTTCTCTACTAAAGACCCCTTGATCTCTAAAAATACCTCATCTCAAACTCAGCTCGTGTCTAGAGACTCTGTGGCCCTTCTGCTTGTCTGCAGAGTCTCTCTGCCGACTAGTTTGAAGAAACTTGCTAACCTCCAGGTCCTCTATAGATATTACCTGGTCACCAGATCATCTATGAGATACCATGGCCTTAACGTCATCTATTGTGACTCCCAGTCTCCATATTCAGTATCTCAAGCCTCCATATCCTCTACTGAGACTTCCAGGCTTCCAGTTGGCCTTGTCTCCAGCTCGCCTTGTCTTCATATCGTCAATTAAGACTCCCTGGCCCTCCAAATCGATTTTAGAGACTCGGTACCCCCTTAGCTCGTTAAAAGAGACTTATGGCCTTTCAACACTTTTAAAGAGATTCCCTGACCTCCCGCTCGTCTATAAAGATTTCCTGGCTTCCAGCTCACCTATAGAGACTCCCTAGCCTTCAGCTCATCTATAGAAACTTCCTCCCCTCCCGCTCGTCTATAGAGACTTCCTGGCTTCCAGCTCACCTATAGAGACTCCCTGGCCTTCAGCTCATTTATAGAAACTTCCTCCACTTCAACACATCTATAAAGACTCCTTACCATCAGATCTTATATAAAAACTTCTTTCCATCCAGTGCGTCCAAAAAGATTGCCTGGTCCTCCAGATCTTCTATAGACACTCCCTGGCCTCTTGATCGCCATAGAGACTGTAGAGCCGTTCAGCTCGTCTGTAGGGACTTTGTGAACCTTCAGTCTTCCTGGCCTTTCAACTCACCTCTAGAGACTCAGCTCGTCTATATCGACTCGGTGGCCCACCAGCTCGTCTATGGAGACTCGGTGGCCCACCAGCTCGTCTATAGAGACTCGGTGGCCCACCAGCTCCTCTATAGAAACTCGGTGGCCCACCAGCTCTTTTATGGAGACTCGGTGGTCCACCAGCTCTCCTATAGAGACTCGGTGGGCCCACCAACTCGTCTATATAGACTCGGTGGGCCCACCAACTCGTCTAAATAGACTCGGTGGGCCCACCAACTCGTCTATAGAGACTATCTGGCCCACCAACTCGTCTATAGAGACTATCTGGCCCACCAGCTCGCCTATAGAGACTTTCTGGCCCACCAGCTCGCCTTTAGAGACTTTCTGGCCCACCAGCTCGTCTATAGAGACTCTCTGCCCCACCAGCTCGTCTATAGATACTCGGTGGCCCACAAGCTCGTCTATAGAGACTCTCTGGTCTGCAGCTCGCCTATAGAGACTTTCTGGCCCACCAGCTCGTCTATAGAGACTTGTTGGCTCTTCATTTCGTCTTTAGTGACCCGGTGGCCCTTCACCTTGCTTATAGAGACTCTCTGACCCACCATTTCCTCTATACAGAATCGGTGGCCCACCAGCTCGCCTATAGAGACTCGGTGGCCCACCAGCTCGTCTATAGAGACTCTCTGGTCCACCAGCTCGTCTATGGAGACTCGGCGGCCCACCAACTCGCCTATAGAGACTCGGTGGCCCACCATTTCGTCTATAGAGATTCTCCGGCCCACCAGCTCGTCTATAGAGACTCGGTGGCCCACCAACTCGCCTATAGTGACTCGGTGGCCCACCAGCTCCTTTAAAGAGACTCTCTGGCCCACCAACTCGCCTATAGAGACTCTCTGGCCCACCAACTCGCCTATAGAGACTCGGTGGCCCACCAACTCGCCTATAGAGACTCGGTGGCCCATCAGCTCGTCTATAGAGACTTTCTGGCCTGCAGCTCGCCTATAGAGACTTTCTGGCCCACCAGCTCGCCTATAGAGACTCGGTGGCCCACCATCTCACCTATAGAGATTCGGTGGCCAACCAGCTCTTATAGAGGCTTCATGGTCTTCAGCTTGTCTGTAGGGGCTTTGTTCGGTGGCCTTAAGACATTCTATAGAGACTTCAGATCGTCTATAGAGACTCGTTGGCTCACCAGCTGGTCTATGGAGACTCGGTGACACACCATCTCGTATATGGATACCCGATGGCCCTTTGGTTCGTCTATAGAGACTCAGTGGCCGTCCAGCCCGTCTATGGGGACTGGTTGGGCCTTCACTTCACCTATGGGGACTTGTTGGCCCACCAGCTTGGCTATAGAGACTCGGTGGACTTTAGTTAAACCCTGATCTTCACATCTTCTTTTTAGAGACTCCTCTATAGAGACTCCCGGTTTTCCGGATTCTAGTCGACAAAGACTCCCCAATAAAAAGTTTCTGTCCTTCAGGAACTCTCTGGCTTCTGTCTCACCTAGAAAGACTTCCTTGCCTCCAGTTCGTCTATAAAGACTCTCCGGCTTCATTTTCTTCATAAAGACTTTCTAGCCTCCAATTCCTCTATAGAGACATCCTGGCCTCCAAATCGTCGATAAAGACTTCTCTATAAAATGTGTCTGTGCTTCAGGTACTCTCTGGCTTCTGTCTTGCCTAGGGAAACTTCCTGGACTCCAGTTAGTCTATAATGATTCTCCGTCTCCAGTTCCTCTATGGAGACTTCCTAGGCTCCAATTCGTCTATAGAGACTCCTTGGTATCAAGCTCGTCGATAATGACCCTCCGGCTCCCCTATAGTTCCCCTGTAGAGATTTCCTAGGTTCCAATTCGTCAATAGAGACTCCCTGGTATCCAGCTTGTCGATAATGACTCTCCGGCTTCAGTTCATTTATAGAGACTTTTGTGGCCTCCAATTCCCCTATAGATACATCCTGGCCTCCAGTTCGCTTATAGAGACTCCTTGAGCTTCCAGCTCATCTATAGAGCATTTCTGGCCTCTACTTCGTCTATATGGACTTTCTGGCCTCCAAGTGGTCTATTTGGACTTCCTGATCCCCAGCTCATCCATAAAGAATCGCTAGCCTCTACTTCGTCTATATGGACTTTCTGGTCTCCAGCTGGTCTGTTCGGACTCCCTCGACTCCAGCCCGTCTATATACCATTTCGGGCCCTCCAGCTTGCGTTTACGGACCCCCTGGCCCTCCAGCTCGCGTTTAGAGACTCCTTGGCTTACCATTCATTTTTGCTCGTTATTATCAAAGTTCTTGCTTTTATCTCGTCTAAGGCGTTTCAAAAGAATTCCCCCCAACATTTTATTTATCACCCACCCACTCACGTCTGCTATGCGACATCTCAAATAATTCGATGACTGACCAGCATCTGTAGACTACATATTAATGATGGCAGGCTACGTACACACAAACCTATACATATCTTGGGGACTTTTTTTGCGATACTTATATCTCACACATTCGTGGGCACATACACATATTCCGACGTATGTATGTATGTATGTATGTATTTCACCAGAGAGGCATTCCCCTTTTGTTGTTGCTGATGAATATGACTAAATGTTTTCAGTTATTAAAAGGGGATTTACATTTGCTTAGTTAATACAAATAAACGGAGGGGGGTCACTTCGCAGAATAGAAGACATATAAAAATACCAGACATGATCAGATATGTCACAGTTTTCTGAAGACTTGGGGAAGATATACATCTGAAGAAAAATAATCTAAAAAATGTCTCTCAACATTGGTGGTACTGCAACGGCCAATCCCAAAGGTGGCCAGGACATTGATGTCAAGGCCATTGGCAAGGTGGGCAATGAGGGTCTGGGCGCCGCTGCTGGTGTCTTTGCCAAGGGCAATGATAAACATGGACCAATTACAACGGGGGCATTTGGTGAAATCAGTTCGTGAGTTTATATTTTTGAAAGAATATTAACTATCTCTCCAAAAAAATATCCTCTTTTCGGGAATTTTTCCAATACCTGAATTTTGAAAAAATCTAAAAAAAATATGTTTTTCCTTTTAGCAATGGCCATGGCTTGACTGTACACCACTCGAATACCCATGGGGTCAGTAAGTCTCTGGGTGAAAATCTGCGCATTAATACCTTCAAAAATGATAATCATGCCGTGGACTTGAATGCCTTCCACAATCGCACCCAATTGCAAAATGGTTTAAAATTTGATGCCGTGGGTGCCAATGCTGCCTGGTCTCATGCCAAGGGTCATTCAGCCACCGTGGGTGTAACACAAATTCCCAAATTCAATATGACCACCTTGGGCGCCACTGGCTCAGCCAATCTATGGACTTCGCCAAATCAGGCTTCATCATTGGATTTGAATGCCTTTGCAAATAAACATATTTCCGGACCATTTAAGGGACATAGGGATATAGGTGGGGGTTTGGGTTTTACCCATAGATTTTAGGGAAATATTTTTTAATATTTTTAAAAATTAAATTATTTACGAATTTACAGTTATTTATAGAAATAAAGAGATTTAAAAAAAGATAAAAAAATCAGATTTTTCTTGAAAATAAAAACCGGCCAATTTTAAGGAAGGGCCCTGTTTTCTCCTTCAAAACTTAAAATTCACCCCCTTTCCTATTCCATTCCATAGTCCTCCATTGTTTTTCATTTCAAAACTTCAAACTTTTCTCCGAATGATATGCCTGTTTCCCACTATTTCCGCTCAATTCAACAGCAGTTTTGTATTTTTGCCTGCCGGCAATGATTCATTTTTAATAATGATTTGTTGTAGCTTTTGTGTATTTGACTGGAGAAACTTACCTCCCCCCACATCTCCCTCCAACAAAATATTTAAAAATTTTCAATTAATAACAAATCATGCATTAAAATTGCATTAGTCTCCAGGACGAATCATGGAGCTAACATATTCTTCGTCTCGTCTTCTCGCCTTTCTTAGGAAAACTTTTGCCAATTATCTGAAACAGAATCGAAAACAACATCAGAAATTCCACAACAACAATAGCAATGGCTGGCAATAACTTGGAGAACAAAACAATATGTTGGCATTGTTAAACAAAATGTTCGGGTAATTTCATTAAGAAAACTGGGTGAATTCTGGAAAGAGAAATACGGGGGATAGTCAGGGATGGAATTTTCAAGGAATTTCAGAGGTTCGCTATGGGAAATGTAAATGAAAATCGACGATCTAGTGGCCAGCCATAACTCCTTAAATATAGACGAGCTGGAGAGCCACCGAGTCTTCATAGACGAGCTGGAGACCCACCGAGTCTTCATAGACAAGCTTGAGGGCCACTGAATCTCCATAGACGAGCTGGAGGGCCACCGAGTCTCCATAGACAAGCTTGAGGTCAGAAATCTTTGTCCACCGAGTCTCCATAGACGAGCTGGTGGGCCAGGGAGTCTCTATAGATGAGCTGGTGGGCAGGGAGTCTCTATAGACGAGCTGGTGGGCCAGGGAGTCTCTATAGACGAGCTGGTGGGCCAGGGAGTCTCTATAGACGAGCTGGTGGGCCAGGGAGTCTCTATAAACGAGCTGGAGGGCCAGGGAGTCTCCAAGACGAGCTGGTGGGCCAGGGTCCTTACAGATAAGGAGGTCTTCTCATAGAACGCCAGAGGGGTTTCCCATAAAAGTCGGGAAGGTCTTCTCGAAGAAGAGCTGAAGGTCTTCTTCGCCATAAAAGAGCTGAAGGTCTTCTTCGCCATAGAAGAGCTGAAAGTCTTCGCCATAGAAGAGCTGAAAGTCTTTGCCATAGAAGAGCTGAAGGTCTTCGCCATAGAAGATCTGAAGGTCTTCGCCATAGAAGAGCTGAAGGTCTTCGCCAAAGAAGAGCTGAAGGTCTTCGCCATAGAAGAGCTGTAGGTCTTAGCCATAGAAGAGCTGAAGGTCTGCGCCATAGAAGAGCTGAAGGTCTTCGCCATAGAAGAGCTGAAGGTCTTCGCCATAGAAGAGCTGAAGGTCTTCGCCATAGAAGAGCTGAAGGTCTTCGCCATAGAAGAGCTGAAGGTCTTCGCCATAGAAGAGCTGAAGGTCTTCGCCATAGAAGAGCTGAAGGTCTTCGCCATAGAAGAGCTGAAAGTCTTTGCCATAGAAGAGCTGAAGGTCTTCGCCATAGAAGATCTGAAGGTCTTCGCCATAGAAGAGCTGAAGGTCATCTCCGTCATAGAAGACCAGATGTTCATCTCCGCCATAGAAGACCAGAAGGTCATCTCCGCCATAGAAGACCAGAAGGTCATCTCCGCCATAGAAGACCAGAAGGTCTTCTCCGCCATAGAAGACCAGAAAGTCTTCTCCGCCATAGAAGACCAGAAGGTCTTCTCCGCCATAGAAGACCAGAAGGTCTTCTCCGCCATAGAAGACCAGAAGGTCTTCTTCGCCATAGAAGACCAGAAGGTCTTCTTCGCCATAGAAGACCAGAAGGTCTTCTTCGCCATAGAGGAGCTGAAGGTCTTCTTCGCCATAGAAGACCAGAAGGTCTTCTTCGCCATAGAGGAGCTGAAGGTCTTCTTCGCCATAGAGGAGCTGAAGGTCTTCTTCGCCATAGAGGAGCTGAAGGTCTTCTTCGCCATAGAGGAGCTAAAGGTCTTCTTCGCCTGTGAAGGTCTTCTTCGCCATCGAAGAGCTGTGAAGGTCTTCTTCGCCATCGAAGAGCTGTGAAGGTCTTCTTCGCCATAGAAGAGCTGTGAAGATCTTCTTCGCCATAGAAGAGCTGTGAAGGTCTTCTTCGCCATAGAAGAGCTGTGAAGGTCTTCTTCGCCATAGAAGAGCTGTGAAGGTCTTCTTTGCCATAGTAAAGCTGAAGGTCTTATTTGCCATAGAAGGGCTGAAGTTCTTCTTTGCCATAGAAAAGCTGTGAAGGTCTTATCCATAGGAGAGCTGAAGGTCTTCTTTGCCATAGAAGAGCTGAAGGTCCTCTTTGCCATAGAAAAGCTGAAGGTCTTCTCATAGAAGGCCAGTGAAGGTCTTCTCATAGAAGACCAGTGAAGGTCTTCTCATAGAAGACCAGTAAAGGTCTTCTCATAGAAGACCAGAAGGTCTTCTCATAGAAGGACCAAAAGATCTTCTCATAGAAGGCCAGAGAAGGACTTCTTATAGAAGGCAAGAAGGTCTTCTCATAGAATATCAGAAGGTCGTCTCATAGAAGACCAAAGGTCGTCTGGTTGAAGACCAAAGGTCGTCTGGTTGAAGACCAAAGGTCGTCTCTTAGAAGCCAAAGTCTAGGTGAATGGTTGGAGGTGTTTTTATGCCAACACTGAAATTATTTCCTTACCCTCTTCTTTATGACCCTCCCCCGAACGACAGCATCGGAAATTATTTATGTAAACAGTGAAATGTGCGCTAATTTAGAATTTGTGGCCAAAGGGTTATTTAGTTTTACTCCTCACCCGAACGATTTTAGAGAAACATCTACCAGTAGTTTTCATTTCGGCGCCACCCAGCATTGCCAATTCAGCGTTATTGTTTTGCTAACCCAAAAATAGCAACAGAAGAATCAGCAATAGGCAAAAGCAAACATTTAACCAACAGTTAAATGCTAGTTTTGCCAGGAAAACTTCTCATACTCCGCCAAAGCGACATAGAAAAAGTTGTGGAGCTGAGGCGGAGGTGGAATAAAACAAAGGCTTTACACATATTCATTAGCAAAAGTAACAAGATTTCATTGGAAAATACGGAATGGGATCCCAAACCCTCTCAAACGAATATCCTCTAGCTCTATTCGCTGGCGAACTGTATGGGATTTTTCGCGTTAAGAACGAAAGTTTTGCTCTGGCAAAACTTTACAACTTATTCCCGTGCCTGGTTAAAGAGAGTGGCAGAGAGAGAGAGAGGGAATAGGAAAATGGTTGAGGTGTGAGCTGTGACTTTGTGGAAAAATGCTGGAAATCCGTTCGGTGTTGGCTGGTTGGTTGTTTATGCCTTGGGTTATAGGCTTTTAACCTGTGCCAACATAATTTTTAAAATGTCGCTCCCCCTCTCCTCCCCTCGCTCGAAAACCCTGACAAAGGGTTAAAAACGTGGATATTTGTTGTATTGTTGTTGCTGTTCCTGTTTGTAAACAACGCGAATAAGAATTTTATGACATTGTTCGAAAGGAGTCCCATCTACCAGACTCCTGTGATTACTAAATGAGAATATCATAGCCGTGGAAAAAAGTAAACAGAGCTTCAAAGGCATCATCCTCGTCGTCATTGTCTGGTAACAGAATTTTTAAAATATTGATAATGTTGTTGTTTTTGTTCTTCTGCTTCTTCTTCTTTTTCATGTGCTTCTGTTATGAATAATTAAATATTTGGCAAAAGTTTGACATTTGATTATGATGCTATTACGGGGTATGGGAAAATGAGCTATAAATCAAAAAGTCTGCAAAGGGGAGGATTGGGGAAATACAGAGAAAAAGATATATTAGAGTATTGGTCGAAGAAAACCTATCGGTGTTCTATGGGAAGAATTTCCTGTCTTCTATGAAGAAGACCTTCTGGTCTTCTATGAGAAGACCTACAGATCTTCTATGAGAAGACCTACAGGTGGTCTTCTATGAGAAGACCTACAGGTTGTCTTCTATGAGAAGACCTACAGGTGGTCTTCTATGAGAAGACCTACAGGTGGTCTTCTATGAGAAGACGTAGAGGTGGTCTTCTATGAGAAGACCTACAGGTGGTCTTCTATGAGAAGACCTCTTGTGGTCTTCTATGAGAAGACCTCTTTTGGTCTTCTAGGAGAAGATCTCTTCTGGTCTTCTATGAGAAACCCATCTTCTGGTCTTCTATGAGAAACCCATCTTCTGGTCTTCCATGAGAAGACCTATAGGTGGTCTTCTATGAGAAGACCTACAGTTGGTCTTCTATGAGAAGACCTACAGGTGGTCTTCTATGAGAAGTCCTACAGGTGGTCTTCTATGAGAAGACCTACAGGTGGTCTTCTATGAGAAGACCTACGGGTCTTCTATGAGAAGACCTACGGGTCTGGTCTTCTATGGAGAAGACCTACGGGTCTGGTCTTCTGTGGAGAAGACCTTCTGGTCTTCTATGGAGAAGACTTTCTGGTCTTCTATGGAGAAGACCTTCTGGTCTTCTATGGAGAAGACCTTCTGGTCTTCTATGGAGAAGACCTACAGGTCTTCCGTGAGAATAACAGCTAGTCTTCCATGAGATTAACTGCTATGAGAGGACCTACTGGTCCTCTATGAGAGGACCTACTGGTCATCTATGAGAGTACCTACTGGTCATCTATGAGAGTACCTACTGGTCATCTATGAGAGTACCTACTGGTCCTCTATGAGAGGACCTACTGGTCATCTATGAGAGTACCTACTGGTCCTCTATGAGAGGACCTACTGGTCATCTATGAGAGTACCTACTGGTCCTCTATGAGAGGACCTACTGGTCTTCTATGGCGAAGACCTTCAGCTCTTCTATGAAGAAGACCTTCTGGTCTTCTATGAAGAAGGCCTTCTGGTCTTCTATGAA